TTTTTTTTCTTTTTTCCATAAAAGAAGCTCTGTTGAACTTGTTTTGATCCTGTTCTGTGTGCTTCTCTCTTAGGACTGGATGAAAGCTCTGCAGATGTTCTGCAGTTTAAGAAAAAACAGTCCAGGGACATCAAATAAGCGTCTACGTCAGGTGAAGCTGTATAAATATTGTGCATTTGGGGGCAGAAGGGAAGAGTGTTTTGTCTCCTTGTTGCAAAATGATACTGAGACTGGGTTTCTGTTTCAACGCTAAATCCTGCATGTACTTTTTTTCTTTTTTTTTTGAGTAATGCAGAACCCTTGTTAAACCAACTGAAAAAAAAATTTCTTTGCAATCTGCAGGTATTTGTGAGGTATTTTTGATCACTTTTGAGTTTAAAAAAAAAAAAAAAGTCAAGTTAGTATTTGTACTGTCTTATCTCTTACAATTCACCACATATAGGAAACTTAAAAGGTTTGGCAGACTTACATTACATGCAACAAAGATACAAGTATAGCTATTTATTTTCAGTGTCAAGTGCATGTTGAACCATGCCTGTGGCTTTAATTATTTTAGGCTTCTAAGAGTAGTGTTGTGGCCAGAAGAGCCGCTCAGAGGTAGCAGACACAGTCATAAATGGCAAAGTCTTTTATGATTAGAGAATAACAGGAAAGTGCTTCAAGAATCCCTGGTACCTTTGAATGCTAGGAACATTGAAAGTGGCTGTTTTAATTAAACAGAATAAGCAATAATATGTGATGTTCTTCAGGAAACGCAGAATAATTATGTGGTCAGAATATATTAAAGATTTGAATGCTTCTGGAGAACCAAATTTTGGTATGAAAATAGGTAAAAGTGTGTAAAGACCAAAAAGAAACTTCCATGTTTATCTTTTCAGGGAGACTTGGCTTAAATTTAAGAACAGAAAGCAGTGGATGCTATGATCAATTAATTTGTGTTTGCATGTTCTGCACGTTACAGTGGGAGGAAAAAAAGCGAAGCCACATTTAGCGAAGAGTGGTTTTATGGCATTTGCTGTCTTCTAGGGGAGGCTAAGGAAATTTTACTATGAATTTTCATGTAAAGATGTATAAAGGGTTTCTTGAGCTGCCCTTTGTAACTTATGGCCCTGCATATTTGAATTTAAACAGAATATTGACTTGATTAAGTATATTTCCTATACTTTACTGTCTAATTTCATTTTAGCTGGTACCAACAGTAGATAGATATCTGTTAGATTGAGCTCTAAAGAATGTGTCATTTTCAAATTTGTACAGTATTAGACCATTTAAAACATTTATTTAAAACACTTATTAAAACATTTAAAGCAGTAAAAGATTTCAGAGAATTCACTCTTCATTTTCTGGAAACTTTGAATTGCCAGGTGCTGTGGTTTTGAGAATCCATAGTATGGGTGAATGTTTTTTTCAGTGTCAAAACACATTGTAGCGTACTGATTTTATAAAGTCTGATAGGGAAGCACCAAATATTTCATTGGGTTTGGAGAAGTCCATGGCTCTTATTTAAGATGTGACTTAAGCCATATAACTCAAGGTACATAATTCTAACTTGTCTGTGACGTGGACATCTGAGTCTGATGACTGTGACTTTAGTGGAGTTTTCTGTGTATTTCCTAATGTCTCATGAATATTGTAAAGGATAAAAATAAGATGTGATTAGAAACATGATACTAGAGATTTGTATTTGAGTTGCTCTTAATTTGCCTTGTTTACTCAAGGTTACCCTTGTTGCTGTTTCTTGTGTTAGGAAATTATAGTTTGTATTTGGTATTTTTACATTAACATTAAGCTCCCACAAGGGGAAAAAATCCTTTATTGGGCTTTTTTGTTTGTTTTATTCGTTTGCAAACAGAAATAAATCTTGTGTGTTTTCTTTAGGTCAGCAGTCTTATTTTGCATGTAGAAGAAGCTCATACGCTCCCTGTAAAGCATTTTACTAATCCGTATTGTAACATCTACCTGAACAGTGTCCAGGTAGCAAAAACACATATCAGGGAAGGGCAGAACCCTGTGTGGTCAGAAGAATTTGTCTTTGAGTAAGTCTTAATCTTCTTGAATTATTGAATTTCACTTAAAAGTTGGATTACATTTAAATATCTTAAGTGTGTAGTATATTTTGCATATTCTTTTAAAAAGTACTGCATATGTGGTTATACAGCTGGCTGCCTTCTGGCCACAAGTGCTTGGACAGAATGTTCTGTAGGCACCTAAGCGTCTCTGTTAGTACAAGTGTCTTTGGCTGATAGTGAGAATTCAGGATTGGAATAACTTGAAAATAACTTTAAATGCTGGCACAATATAATATTAACTGAGGCTTTCTGTCTTTTCTCCTAGTGATCTTTCATCTGATATTAATAGATTTGAGATAAGTCTAAGTAACAAAACAAAGAAAAGTAAAGATTCAGATATATGTAAGTATGTTTCTGTACAAAAACATATATATTGCAACAATGGATACTTTGCACAATTGTCATGCTTCTTGTCAAAAACAGTCACAGGAGAATTAAGTGTACTATATATATATATATATATTTTAGCTTTCATACCATCATATTAGTATGTTTTGTATGTCTGTTTCTGACTCTGCATTAGTGTTTTTACAATGAGAGCCTGCATGATTTAGAGTAACCAAATGCACAGTAATCCTCCCCCGTTACGGCTTTCTTTGCTCTATTCTATAATAGCTTTTGTGTTATACTGCGGCTATGCTCAGCATGAAGAAAAGTGGGAAGGAAGAGGGGCTGTTCTGTAAAATGCAAGGTTTTACTAAGTTAACTTCTTTCATTTGCTTTAAACCTGACTGTGTTGGGATTTCTTTTGTCTTTTTCATTTTTGCCGCCTCATTTCTTGTTGAAAGGAAGGGAGGAAAGTAGTACTTTGACTATTTAAACACATATACACAGAAAAGTTTGAGAACCTTGTCAGTCCCTGGAGCAAAATTTTTCCACTGGTATGTTTTTGTTTTGGATTTTCCTGTTTTATCTCATTTCTGTACATTCCTTATATAGCTGATTTTACATCAGTATTACTTTGATTGGGAAAGGTCTTGCTTCCTTCAGCCTTTTATAGAAGTTCCCAGGAATTCCTAGCTAGACAGCTTCTTCAGTTGCTCTTTTGTTTCTATTCCAGCAAATTAGTATCAAGGTGATAGATAATAAGGCAATAGCAAGGTATAAATCTGTTGGCTTTCTAGAAGAGAAGGGACTTGGTTTGATGAACTCGGATTCTAAGCTTTTAGACATCAGTTTTTCTTTTTTCTGTTTTAATTCTCTTCCCACAAAATGTGGTTTTATGCTTTTTCTTTTATTCAAGGTACTTTGTTTCCAGTGGCATTTGTTCTCTGATGACTTCAGCCCCTTGCCTCTCCTTCTGCTTGCAGTGCAGGCCCCCCTAAGATTTATTAGGAGGACTTTTCCAGTGTGTTCAGACTCATCTGTTCCAAAGCCCGGCATAGTACTTGCCTATTGCTCTTGTTTTCAGATTGCATGTGTGGTGTTACTAGTCTGTTTGCCTCAGTGGTGACTTATATATTTATTTTTCAGAAAAGAGATTTGTAGCGAAACCTTGAGCAAAGTAGAATTGCTATGTATATTGAGTGCTCTTGCAGAACCTAATTCATTTTTTAAAACTCTTGCCCCCTCCTGCAACTACAGAATTTTTTATGTTTTTTGCAGGAGGAAAAAGATGCATCTGTTCTGATAGACCAAACAACTCTACAGTTTTAGTTGTGATCTTATTCTCATACTTCTAGCACTTAGAGCTAGAAAATTCCTTATTTAGGCCAAAGCCCTGGAGAAGTAGTGTTGCCCTAAACAGCCTCTGCAAAAGCAAAAGAATCAGTTTCTAAGCATTCTCCTTTTCAGCCATTGTTTTCCTATGTAGCTCGCTCTGTAGTGGGTTAAGTCAGCTTTCCTACTGTGTAAAGCAGACTGATCTGGTACTGGTTTCACAGCTTATTTCTTTCATCATCATGCACAAAAGTAAATACCAAAATATGATCATGAAGGCTAACTTTTTACAAGTCTTTGACTTTGAAGTTTACCTATTAAGTATTCATTCTGCAATTATTTTTTTGATTTTTTTTTTTTTAGATATTCAGAAATAATGATACTAAACAGCATAGCATCTATTTCATTCTTTTTGTTTTACTAACAGATTTTTGTGTATCCATTTATTTTAAATATATGTGGCTTAAAAATAAAGTCCTAGAAGATGAGGAATGTATTAGTAGACTTCTGCTACTAGAAACTCCTATGCTGAGGTTTTGTCTGACTTTGGAGCCAGTTGGTATCTCAGAGCAGCTCCATGTGGGGCTCAGCTGTGGAGGGGTTTCTGGTTTGGTTTTGCACCAGGGTAGTTGGTTGTCTTCAAATTCTCTCATGCAGAAAATCAAAGCACTTAGAGGCAAGCAAGTCCATAGAGCAAAATGTTAGCCTATGTTTCTCTCAACAAAAAGCTGTTGCTGTGCTGCCCCTTTGCCAGTGGCGCTGGAAAATAAGCCTCCTGTGGCAGGCTTAAGACTTGGTTTCTTCCCTCACCTATCTTCCTGCAAACACGTGCTCAACGCATTTAGGGGCAGGTAGGGAGCAGTCTTAGACAAGTGTGGACGTGGACAGTTGGTAGCAACTCAGGCTGGAGCCTGTGAGGCCCCAATGCTCGTGACAAATGTGACGCTGCTGCAAAGAGCAGAGGGCAGGTGCCACAGCCCCTCCTGTGAGGAATAGCCTGCGAGCAGCGAGGTGGCAGCTCCGTGTCGCAGCGCCTTCTAGGAGGGGTTGCACTAACCTCTCTGAGAGCTGTGTGTGGGGAGGGCAGGCTGTAGTGTGCCTGTCTGCTGACCAGTTTCTGCTTTTGTTTGCATCGAGGTGGGCTTTTATTCTGAATCAGTAATGGTAGATGTTTTGGAGGGGGGTGGTGGGTGGTTAAATTGATTTTCACCATAAATTTGGAGTTGTTTCCACTCTGAGGAAAACACAAGTTTGAACCAACTTTGATTTCCAGGTCAGAATTATTAACCATCAAAATAAAAACTTTCAATCATCCCTACATGTGTGCCTTGCATACGCTGGCGAGGCAAGAAATAAATGCTTTGAGTTAGGGGAGCTTGAGAGCTTTGATGCTGGGAAGAAATATCCTAGGAAAGTGAATTGCTTATCTGTCCAGAAGCGATAGCCTCATCCACACTTGTGACAGATAGCTGATGAACTGCTTCAGTTCATTTTTGACCGAGTGACTGAGACTAACCTTATATCAAATGATCAGCTCAAAGAATATGAAACGTCCACCTGGGAGGTCTTTAAGTGTGCATTGTAAACGTGGTAGTGTTTGGTTCCGCAGTCTGATTGGGCACTTGATGTCCCAATAGATGCTCCAAAATTGATGCAGTAGCAAGTCTGCTAGAGCAGGTGTTAATTCCTGCAAGGCAATGTCGTATACAGGCTTTGCAGAGAAGTGGGGTGAAAATGAGATGATTTATGTATTGTGAGCGACTTAGATTTCGATGAACAGGCAAAGGTCCGAACAGTCTGACATGCTACATGTGAAACATGGAGGGGGTTCTGTGCTCCCTTTTAGGAAGTTGCGGGTATTTTATAGGTCGAATGTTCTCTGCAAGTGTCGGGGCTCTTTGTGTGCGGAGGAGCTTGGTGAGGAGAGGGGGCTTGCTGGGAATGGTCAGTGAGGAGCTGGCAGCAGCTCGCTCCTCACCTCTTAGACCAGACTTTCTGTTGTGGCCATAGGGGCGAGTTTGGGAACTTGAAGATGCCAACACCACTAAAAGGTGAATTAATGATTTTGCTGCTCTTGAGCTGATTATCATTACCTAGGCAGACAGCTCACTGTCCATCACTGAAAGGTTATAGAATCTCCATCTTTCGAGATATTCAAAAGTCTTCTGAACACAGTCCTGTGCCACATGCTCTAGGTGTCTCTGCTTGAGCAGGGGGTTTGAACTAGATGGTCTCTAGAAGTCCCTTCCAACCTCAACCAGTCTGTGATTTTTGTGATACTAGGAGGTTGCAAAGAGTTATGTTAACATGTGTGTGCTGTTTTCAAATGTATATGTATCCTTTATTTACAAAATATTTTACATTTAAGATTGGCTTTATGAGAGTCTGTTAAACCATTAAAATGATTATATTTTAATATATTAACAGCATAAATCTTAGGGGGAGGAGGGTTGTTTGTTTTATTAATATTCTTAGTGAAACAAGATGACATGCAAAAAAATGCTTCTATTCAATACTAGTTCTGTTTTGCTGGAAATAAGTGATGCAAACAATGCCTTTTTTCTTTAAGTGTTTATGCGATGCCAGCTGAGTCGATTACAGAAAGGACATGCGACAGATGAGTGGTTCCAGCTCAGTTCCCATGTGCCATTAAAGGGTATCGAGGCAGGATCTTTGCGTGTTCGAGCACGATATTCTATGGAGAGGATCATGCCAGAAGAGGAGTACAGTGAGTTTAAAGAGGTATTGAGTTGTTGAACTTTCCTTAGTTTATCTGTCAGAATAATTCATTTTTATCTGCTTTAGACAGACTTCAGCAGCTCTGGTTGAGCTCTTAAAGCACTTCCTGTAGTGACATATAGATATCACAGTTGTATGATAGCAGTTTTTTCCACAGCTATGACACAGTAAAAGTTTCTGAACATCATGAAGTTCTGTTTGTCTTTCAGCTTGTACTCCAAAAAGAGCTACATGTAGTCTATGCCTTATCACATGTTTGTGGACAGGACAGAACACTGTTGGCAGGCATTTTATTGAAGATTTTTCTTCATGAAAAACTTGAGTCATTGTTGCTACGAACACTAAATGACAGGGAAATAAGCATGGAAGGTACTGGACTAATTATTCTAACCTTAAATTCAGTTTGCTGAAATTGGGGGGGAGAGGACGGTGTGCATGCTCTAGTGTTTTCTTTTTATTCTCTTCTGTCCCCGCAGTTACACATATATGAAATTGCAAGCACAGCATTTTTTTTTACTCTGCCTTTGCTTATTTTCTTTTCTTAACTTTTGTTTTTTTTACCTTCATTTTCAGATGAAGCTACTACCTTGTTTCGTGCCACCACTTTAGCCAGTACGCTTATGGAGCAGTATATGAAAGCCACAGCGACACGTTTTGTTCACCATGCACTGAAAGACTCTATATTGAAGATAATGGAGAGCAAGCAGTCCTGTGAGGTGATAAATTTGATAATTTAAACCAGGCTTTTAAACACTTTGTTAAAACAGTGGGATTTTTGTTTGTTTTTTATACTGGTGATGGTGATGTTTAATGTTTACATTAAATACTAGCTCTAGAGGCACTTGATAATCTTTCAGACCTAAACTTTATTTATTTGAGAAATACAAGAACTGGACTCATTAGGGTATTTTTTTTTTAGGGTATTTTTTTCTAGATGTTGACTTGCACAATACAGTAGTGCTTTTCATGGTAGCACTTTTAAAATGTTTTTAACTCGCACTTCTTTAAATTGTGTATTTATTCTTTAGCAATTCAGTGATGTTCTGTGGCATGTACTGAATAGCCTAACCTAAATAGCTCTGGTAAACTCTGGATGTAATAGAAATCACTGTCTGAAGTTGATTTTAATTTATAGCTCCATGACATGATTAATTGCTTGTTATTGATTCTGTCTTCTTTCTTGAACCAACCCTCTTTAACTTCTCTATTTCACTCCAACTTAATTGCAAAAAGAATAGGGATACTCAGAAGATGGGATTTAAAGATATGACAAGGTTATGTAGATGAACAGTGTTAAATGTCTGTGCAACTAAAAGCTATGCATAGTATACTAAAACATAAACACTGCTTGTTCACGTTAGTTTCCTGGCTGGACATTGAAGCAGATGTTTAAATTCTCTACAAGTCCATGACTTGTACAGCAGCAGAGGATTCATTTACCTTGAAATAGTATTCAGGGTGTCATGTTATCCAGTTACTGATATAGTAATTTAGAAGAAACTTTTCTACTTTTTTTTTTTCTTCCCCCTTTTGGCTTTAGTTAAATCCCTCCAAGTTGGAAAAAAATGAAGATGTAAACGCTAATTTGGCCCATCTACTCAGTATACTGTCAGAATTGGTGGAGAAAATATTCATGGCTGCAGAGATACTGCCTTCGTAAGTATGCACTCTTCTGTTGTTTGTATGTGAAAATTCCCATTGCACCTTCTTGGTTATTTTTTCCTAAAATCTAGTTTCATAGTTTAGGCTTGAACCATATAATAAAAACTGCATAGTACTAACAGTTTTCTTTTACTATTTTGTTAGTTTTTAATGTAAACAAAATTCTAAAATTAGGAATGGCAGAGTATCACAGAAATCTCTTATGTTGGTGATGGAGCAAAGTTAGCCATTAGTTACCATTGCACCACTACTCCCACTTTCTGATGGAGTAACATACTTTCTCTGATTACTCATTTGATTTTAAACACGACCTCTTTATGTATTAAAAAAAAATCATTCAGTTAAAAGGTTAAATTAAAAGACCAAAGCATCTTGTCCTTTTTTAAAATGAAACATATGGTTATAAAACATTTAATGTGCATCTGAATAATTATGTGAGCTTATCTGCCAAAAGAAGTGTATTGAGGGAAAACTTCCTTTGCCATTTGTAAATCAAGTGTCTCAGCAGATCTTTAATTTTCAATTCATGTCTAAATTATAAGCCCAAGTGTTGGTGATGCTCATCAAGCACGAGATCAGACTAGATTGTTTCTGACGTTGTTGTTTGTGGGAGTCTTTTGGGTTTTTTTATGTTGTTTGTTTGTTTTTGATTCTGCAAAGTTTAATGGAAAGCCTGACTAGCTATAATTTTTACAGAACGTTGAGGTATATTTATGGGTGCTTGCAGAAGTCTGTTCAAAACAAGTGGCCTGCCAACACCACCATGAGAACCAGAGTTGTTAGGTAAGTTACTTGTCACTTTATGCTGAAAATAATCTTTTAATGTCTTTTTAAGACATAGTTCAACTTCTTTTTTTCGGTGCCAAATCTTTACAGTACTTGTATAATTTATAGCAATATAAAAGTTATTTATGATACTGAGACACGATATCCCAGTTAAGGGTTGAGAGCTTGCTAGATTATGGTTAGAGCCTTGCCAGAATAGGATAGTCTACTACAGAGGCCAGCACAGCTTTACCTAGCAGTTTTAAATTCAAATTTACTTGTATTTTTTATTAACTTTTACAAAACAATCTACAATGTTTTCCTATTTCATGTTTGGAAAGAAAGGCTTCAGTCAGATAAATTTTGTGATATTTGTAGAGAACAGTGGCCTCTGAAGGTCTTGTTCCTGTCATTTTCCTTCTGTCCCACTTCTGGCCCATGCTGAAACATGCAAAAGCATCCCCAGAGATGCTGAAACGCTGCAGAGCTGCTGTGAAAGGGCTACAGGCCACTGAGCCTGGCTTCTCTGGGCTGCCGCCGAGTATGAGAGCTCCTTGCTCACCAATCTGAACGCACAAAGTTTTTCCTTCACATCATCTTTTATCAGCGTAGGTCAAATAAAAATCTTTGACATAAGGCGAGACCTTGGCTTAGTTTTTGGAAATGATACTGGTGGTTTAAGGGTATCACGGCCACATCTTTCTTTCCCTTCCTTTACCTTTTCTGTAGGCCTGACTTGTTGGTAAGCAAGTGTAGCATTTGGCACTGATGTGATTTGCTAGGGTTAATCTCCCATTGGAAGGGAGCCTTCCAGACAACTTGTCTTTTGGCTCTGGTTAATCATTTTGACGCCAGAAGTCTTGGCCTATGTCACTTAGCACCTCCTGCGGGCCCTTTGCCTTCAAATTTAGACTGCTATCACAAGAGGTGATGGGGTAGCCTCTTGAAGGGGGCAGAACACAGAAGTGAGTACAACGTTCTCCCTGTTCCTCCCCACCTTCAGAGAGCCCTCGGCTTGCCCTAAGTGGATACATTCAGCCGTTTCCCTGGTTTCCAATATTTACAGCATCCAGAATTTATGCTGGATGGTATAAACATTGGAACCTTCTCCCGTCCCCGTAACCTGCAGATATGTGTGAGCTCTCCCTAGAATACAGTTTTGCAGTCTTCAGTGAAGAATACGGTCTCATTGTGCTGTATGTGGTCCATAATTAAGTATGATCAACTAAGGGCAGTTTAAGTGTCTGAGTAGCTACCCTCATGTGTCATTCAGAAGTGCTGCTGTTTCTGTCTCATTGTAAATCCTACACTTAAGCATTGGCTCCTTTTTAATTTAAGCAGTATAATCAGTGTAAGAAGCACCAAACTTCCCAGATTGAGGTCCATCCAGTTTCATACCTTAATTGGCTTGAATTTCAAGTCATCCAAAACAAACTATTGAATGTGCCATGACTTCCAAAATACATTTTTATAGCTTTAAGTTAATTGCATAGAAAATATTCTTTACAGTGGGCCAGAACTGTTGCCTCATCAGCCCAGAAATCATAGGTCCTGAGGAAATGAGAAGCTGTTAGACCAGGATGCTAGAATTGAGGTGTTTTGGCCGCAGGGAAGGTGTGTTTAACTCCCCTGCTGCCCGAATCAGTTCCAAGTAGCAACTGGCAGCACCAGTGCAGGTGGTGTAAGGCCCCAGCCTTCTGCTGCAGGCGGTCAGGCCTCGCTCTGGCTGCAGTGAAAAGCCCTTCTGGCACCATCATGGCACTCTGAACTCACTGGGAGATGGTCAGGTTGCTTCTGCTATTCATATGTCGCTTCAGTGTGTAGCAGCAGTCTTCCAGAATCGGTGGATGCCAGCAATGAGCCGGATGTATTTTACATTAGCTGCTAACACAGATTTTTCACATGCTAACCAGCAGGCTATTTTAGGTTGCTATCAGATGAGTTCCTAGATCTGCAGTCAAACAAAGCCCTTTTTCTGAGCTTTCTAGATTATCTAGGTGGCAGCAATTATGCCTGTAAGGACGGTATCTAATTCACATTTATTCTCCTAGGCTAGCGTAGTGCCACTGTTAGTCCGTAATCCCAGCAATCAC